GAAGTTTAGTCAGTACTTCTACTTTTTAAACACGAGTATCTGTACTTCTACTTGAGTAAAGGATGTGTTTACTTTTGCCATCTCTGATGATTCCTGGTTGGCAATTGTAACGGTGTGTGTGTGTGTGTGTGTGTGTGTGTGTGTGTGTGTGCGTGTGCGTGTGTGTCAGGCTTCACATGCTCAGCGAGTTGGAGCACAGCTTCACGGAGCTGCAGAGCTCCGCCCCCAGCCTCAGCCAGCTGCCGCCTCACTTCACTGACCGCCTGGAGATGACCCAGAACTCCTTCAGGGCCAAGGAGCCGATCCTGGCCCTGCGCCGCGCCCTGCTCAGCCTGGGGCCGCAGTAAGGACGTAGAAACATTTGTGTCAATATGTCGCTTTACATTCATTGCACAGCAAGGGTGTCAAACTCAATTCCATCGCGGTCCACATTACCATTATGGTTGGACTCAAAGGGCCGGTTGTAACTTCAAGACTATAAAGAAATCGTAAATATATATAATGTAATGTATTAAATTACATTATTGCCTCTGCATTGGATTATTATCGGATAGGGTAATAACTTCATAACTAACTATGTCTGAAAGCAGAAGTCCAGGGAAAATAATTGTAAGTCTCTTCAGTGCCATGTCTCAAAATGAGATGCATTGTGGGACATGTAGTTTATGGGCAACGTGCTTTTGTAAAGCGGCATGTAACCGTATAATAAACGTATTATATTCTTTGCAAGCTCTTGCGGGCCACATAAAAGTAGGTTGCGGGCCGGATTTGGCCCACAGGCCTTGAGTTTGACACCCCTGTACAGTATGAGCAGGTCCACCTTTCTCTGAGCTATTGCTCTTTTCGCATTTACCACAACTTTTTATGTTGACCAATGTTTTAATAATGTGGCTCTTCACCTGTAACTTCTCAGCAGTATTTCTTCGTAAATATTTGTTTAAACAGAATAACTTATAAACATTAGAGTGCCTTGAAATCGGGGACAGTGCAAATCTCATCTCCCTGTTGTGCATTATTTCAAGTGCCTGTGACTTTATAGTATACCGTTCAAGCTATCAAAGAGCCAATAAAAGCTATGCAATGTTAATCCAAAAGAAATCTGTGTAAATGATTCAAGTCAAGGCCACATCATAAATCAGTCCCTCTTGTCTGCTTCAAAGGTCCAGGAGCAAGGAGCTGGTGGGGGAGTGCTGGCTGCAAAGTGCCCGCGTGGCCAGGAAGGCGGGACATCACCAGACGGCCTTCAACGCTCTCCTGAACGCAGAGAACACACACCTGGCCGAGCTGGTGACCGAGAAGGCCAAGTGGCTTTGGTCCAAGGTTTGAATAACTTTAAAGGTCACCTATTATTATTATTATTATTAAACATGTGTCCCCTCTGTGTAAAGAGATGATCAAGCAGTTTGTTATCCAGCCTAGTGTGAATAGTTATTCCATCTCCTTGTGTTAATACAAAGTGTCAGCACCTCTTGTGTAAAGCTGACTGTTTTTCACACCTTCTATCCTACTGAAACTCACACATAAATACACAAAATATCACTTATAAAACGTCTGCATTAATGTGTCGTCAGGGCGATGTACACGAGGCGCTGATCGTGCTGCAGAAAGGTGTGACCCAGTGTTTCCCTGACGACCAGCCGCTGACGGACCCCCGCAGCCTGCAGACTAAAAGCAGGGCCATGCTGCTGGTGGGACGCTTCATGGAGGAGACGGCCAACTTCGAGTCCAACGCCATCATGAAGGCATACAAGGTAACGGGCGTGATGCGATATGAATAGAGAAGTCAAAGTCAACTGTATTGTCAATCTTTCAGTTTGTGTGTACAGACAGAGAGATCGGAATAACGTTTCCCACAATCCCGAATATAAAACAAATGTATATATAAATACGTGTGCAAATATGTATATATATATATATATACACTAGGGATGTCCCGATCACCTTTTTTTGCTCCCGATCCGATTCCGATCATTTGATTTTGACAATTTGCCGATACCGATTTTTCCCGATCCGATCTTTATGCAATGCATTAAGAGGGAAAAAAGCATTCAAGTTGTCCCTTAAGGTTATTTAAAAAAAAAAAAGAAGTATTTATTAAAAAAAATAAAAAAATCCCGATCCCCGATTTTTTTCTCCCGATTCCGATCTTTTGAAAATCACGTGATTGGCTCCGATCCCCGATCACGTGATTTTCAAAANTCGGGAGAAAAAAATCGGGGATCGGGATTTTTTTTGATCGGGACATCTCTAATATACACACAGTCAAAGACACATTTTTACCTAAAAATATTGACCTAAATAAAAACACAACAATCAATATATACAAATAACAGTCACTTCAATATTTGAGAATGTACATTAGTGCAACATTGTCCATAGAACTAACCACTGTGCAGGAAGTCATAGGCTTCGATTACACCCTAACGATGAGATGCAGGTTACAACCTGTAAGACACTGCAGAGGCACTCATGCACAAATGATACTGTTACATGTTATGAAAAATAAACCCCACACATGTCCTGTTGCAGCTACTCAATTGTAAGGATTTGCTGCCTTTCTTTGCCTTTTCTGATAATAAATAAAATGTCTTCAAGGCCCTTAGAAAATTGTGATGGGTGTTTATTTTTACATTTTTTGGACATTTTTTAGCCCAGGCAATGAACTGAATAATAAAGAAAATGGTTTTCAAAAGAAGGCAATAACTAATTACTGTAGTTGCAAGAAAAGAGCCAAAGACAGCTTAATATTAACCAAGAAGCATGCATAAGAAATATTAGAGATAAAATAATTACACAATTTACAAAATAAAGCAGTTCTGAGAGATATAGCAGCCAGGTTATATATTAAACAGCTATTAACGGGATATAAAAATATTACATACTGTTGTGTTTCTTAGGATGTGACCAACCTCCTGCCTGAGTGGGAGGATGGAAACTTCTACTTGGCCAAGTACTACGACAAAGTGATGCCAATGGTGACTGATAATAAGCTGGAGAAACAGGGGAACCTCATCAGATACATTGTGACTTACTTTGGAAAGTAAGTTATTGTTCTCACTGCTGAGACCCAGTCCTTAAGAAAATACTATTACACCTGGCTTTCACCAAAAGCTCATTCATTTTGTGAATTTGAATCTGTGTTGTTTCCCTCGCAGAGCCTTGCAGTTTGGAAACCAGTACATCTACCAGGCCATGCCTCGCATGCTTTCTCTCTGGCTGGATTTTGGAGCCAAAGTGTGTGAGTGTGAGAAAGGTGGGTGTCCAGAAGCTACTGTAAAAGTAAAATAAAGATACACACAGGGCAATGGCTGCTCCCAGTGTCTGGCTGATTCACTAGATGTTCCAACACAGTCAACATGTATTTAAAATGTACAATGAAAAGCAGTAGTAAGCAGAGATGGCAAAAGTACACACATCCTTTACTCAAGTAGAAGTACAGATACTCGTGTTTAAAAAGACTCTGGTAAAAGTAGAAGTACTGACTAAACTTCTTCACTCAAGTAAAAGTAAAAAGGGCTTTGAAATGTACTTCAGTAAAAAGTACCCATAACTAGCAGCTGTTTTAAAGAGTACCTGACCTCCCTTTATATTAATAGAACAATAATGTCATTGTTAGCTAATGAATGTTTCCATGCTGAACAACGGCAACATGACAACGTTTTCATTGGTCCCTCTTCTTTAGAGAAGACCAGGAAATGATGGATACACGGATCGTGTTCAAATCAATAGGCACGCAATGACTCTAAATAATAATGATCACGCCACCAAACACACATTCAAACTAAAGGAACCAGCCTGTTTGGAAAATGTGAGAAGTAGAAAGTACAGTTGTTTGTGTTCAACATGTAAGAAGTCGTCAGAATAATAAGTAGTGGAGTAAAGTACTGATACCAGAAAAATGTACTTAAGTACAGTAACGAAGTATTTGTCCTTCACTACTTCCCACCTTTGGTATTAAGCAGTAGTAAGAAATGCAATTATATAGTTGTATATATTCTCAATCAAGAACTAATCTGAATCTTCTTCAAACGATTAATTGTGAAGCATGTTTCTGTGTTTGTTATGTGTTTTATTTGACCTGTATTTAATTCATAAAAAGATGTGAGCCTATGTAAATGGTGTCCACTCTTCCCTCCACCCCAGCTGGCCGGGCGGACAGGCAGATGCGACAGGAGCTGGGCAAAATCAACGCTGCGGTGAGCGAGCACTGCGACAACTTAGCGCCCTACCAGTTCCTGACGGCCTTCTCCCAGCTCATCTCCAGGGTCTGCCACTCCAGCGACGAGGTCTTCACCGTCCTCATGACCATCGTGGCCAAAGTCTTCCTGAAGTACCCCCAACAGGCCATGTGGCTGATGACTGCTGTCTCCAAGGTGTGTGTGTGTGTGTGTGTGTGTGTGTGTGTGTGTGTGTGTGTGTGTGT